AAACGTTTTAATTCCTGCCCGAGACTCGGTCGCTTTAATTCCATTTAAGATTATTTTTGCGGGGAGATTTTTACATCGTATAAATCAAGCGCCTTTATCGACCGTAATTTGCTAATGGATCTTATAACTTATAATCCACTTTGGTTAATCGCTACAGTTTTTTTTTCTTTACTAGTTTGCGGATTAGTTATTCCGGTTTCGCAACATATCGCACATCCCGCGTATATAAATAAATCAAAATAATTGCACAGCGCGTCTCTCGCTGGATAATTATCCGCTCGTTTATTTGACGTGTTCGAGTAAATTTTCCCCGGCTTTTACGTCTCGAGACTTTCACAATTGCGTGCAAAATAAATGACAATCGGCAGCTTATTGCGCTTAATGAGAAATTGTTCGAAATCTTTATATATATGTATATAGTGTGCTCGTACACCGGGAGGCGGCTGGTGTATGGATGATGTAGCGGGAGCGGCGCGGCGCTCCGGGCGAGATCTCTTTCTCGTCCTGAAATATGACCTTTAAGCAATATGTGAAATAGGGGTCGGCCCCGATGAATATCCGACTGGCGAAAGACCGAATTCGCTCATCTTTTATGTATCTAGTAGGAGAGGTTTCTCGAAAATTCGCCTCAAAGTTGCTTCATTTAAAATAGTTTGCGAACCAGCAGAAACATTTAGAGCTGTCTAAAACCATTTAGAATGCTTCAGAACCATTTACAACCCTCCTAAATCATTTAGAACGCTCTAGAATCATTGAGAACCGACTAGAACCATTTAGACTGCTCCAGATTCATTTAGAACGGTCTAAAACCATTTGGAACGCTTCAGAAAACCATTTACAAGTCTCCAGAATTATTTAGAACTATCTAGAGCCATTTCTAACGTTTCAGAGAACCATTTACAACCCTCCAATTTTATTTAGAGTGCTCTAGAATCATATAGAACTGTCTAAAACCATTCAAAACGCTTCAGAAAACCATTTATAAGCCTCCAGAATTATTTAGAACTATCTAGAGCCATTTCTAACGTTTCAGAGAACCATTTACAACCCTCCAATTTTATTTAGAGTGCTCTAGAATCATTTAGAACTGTCTAAAACCATTCAGAATGCTTCAGAACCATTTACAAGCCTCCAGAATTATTTAGAACTATCTAGAGCCATTTAGAACGTTTCAGAGAACCATTTACAACCCTCCAATTGTAATTAGAATGCTCTAGAATCATTTAGAACTGTCTAAAACCATTCAGAATGCTTCAGAACCATTTACAAGCCTCCAGAATTATTTAGAACTATCTAGAGCCATTTCTAACGTCTCAGAGAACCATTTACAACCCTCCAATTTTATTTAGAGTGCTCTAGAATCATTTAGAACTGTCTAAAACCATTCAAAACGCTTCAGAAAACCATTTACAAGCCTCCAGAATTATTTAGAACTATCTAGAGCCATTTAGAAAATTGCTATAAACTCCAATTTTATTTAGAATGCTCCAAAATTATTTAGAACTGGACAGAACCATTTAGAGTACTCTAGAATCATTTAAAACTATCTAAAACCATTTAGAACGCTTTAGAACCATTTACAAGCCTCCATCAGAATCATTTAGAACTGGCCAAAACCATTTAGAATGCTCCATACTCATTTAGAACGCTCCAGAAGCATTTATAACTGTCCAGAACCATTTTTGCACATCCTCTATACAGAGTGACACTATTAATGTTTTAATATTCAAAGATACCTTAAATTTCACCATTTTTTCATCGACTTACCCGCGCTCTCTTTCGCTTAATACATATTCAAAAATGTCTATCTCCTGATGCCGATCGGACTATAAATACACAAAAAATATATTCGTTTTTAACTCGCCTATATTATTATCGCCCTGTGAAAACGATTCGTCGAGAAATCGCCGCTACTATTCCGCATAAACATATTCCCGGAGTCGACGTAAAGCTCGAGAGAAGCCGGTAAAAGCTCAGAAAGCCGGCTGAAAGCGCGCTGTTAATTAATAATTACTGACAAGTTGCTCTTCCTTTGCTCCCGGTCCGCGCCGCCATGGCAGAGAGAGGAGGTTTGCAATTAGTCGGTGATTTAATTAACAGTTTGCCGCACCGTTACTTGCGTTTAATTTAATATACGGCTTTATATAAGAAACTTTTCGATGCGATATCGGCGCCCTATTTCTATAATATTATACCGATATTTTTCTCTCCCAATAGTCTATAGAAAAAAGGCTTTAAAAAATTAATTGTCTATGTACTAATGTAATGTATAGTTTGTATAAAACGTAACCAAAATATTTGCCAAGCAGTGTGGGTAACTTTTAAAAATTAATACACTAAATATTTTAAGCTGTATTAAAGAAATTTAATGATTAATGACAATTTTATAAAATCCTTAGATTTCTTAAACTCTATAAAAATTTGGCAACAGAGCCTATTTGTGACGTATTAAATTTGCATAAATCGTAGTAAAGCTTTTATTAATTTTGTTTCGAAACGAAAGAGAATTTTCTTGGAGCTTTTCCATCCTTTTTTTCCCCAACGAAATCAAAGGAAGCGCCGGTTCGCTAAAACTTTCATCGCCTTTATAACATTTTTTTTGTATTGTTAATTGTAAATATTTTTTAATTCGCCAACTTCCCTTGAACGCAATCGCGCGTTCTAATTAAAATCTTCCCGTTCGATTCCGTCAGGCTCTAACGTCGAATCGTTTATAACAATTTGGCGTGATAAAAAAGCAGCAGGAGCGGCAGGAGCCGGATCGGGAGCGGTCCGAACAAAACCAATTACTATACGTATTTATAACCGAATCGCCCGAATCCGATTAAGCGTTAGTACGGTGTAGGCGACAGGGGGCGCGAGGGAGATAAGATAAATCTTTCCGGGTTCGCCCTCTTCGAATGGCCGAGAGTGCACCCCGATAGAGCCGATGGGCTACCGAACAAAGGCCGCTTTCGATCGCGAGAATATCGCCAGAAATTCGTACAAATCGCCTGTGAAACAGGCCAATTTTTTTTGCAACAGTTGTTTGTTGGTTAGAAATTGTGGGGAAATGTGGGTTATTTGCCATAATTTCAACTAAAGTGAGAAGCTTTAATATATTTTTGTATAGCTTCACCATAATTTCAACTAAAATGAGAAGCTTTAATACATTTTTGTATAGCTTCACCATAATTTCAACTAAAATGAGAAGATTTACCAAATTTGTGTTCACCTCTACTATAGTTTCAACTAAAATGAGAAGTTTTCATAAATTTTTGTACACCTCTACCATAATTTTAACTAAAATGAGAGGTTTTAATAAATGTTTGTACTCCTCTACAATAATTTCAACTAAAATGAGAAGCTTTAATACATTTTTGTGCTCCTCTACCATAATTTCGACTAAAATGAGAAGTTTTCATAAATTTTTGTACACCTCTACCATAATTTTAACTAAAATGAGAGATTTTAATAAATGTTTGTACTCCTCTACAATAATTTCAAATAAAATGAGAAGATTTCATAAATTTATCGTACTCCTCCACTATAATTTCAACTAAAATGAGAAGCTTTAATACATTTTTGTGCTCCTCTACCATAATTTCGACTAAAATGAGAAGCTTTAACAAATTTTTGTTCACCTCTACCATAATTTCAACTAAAATGAGAAGTTTTAATAAATGTTTGTACTCCTTTACCATAATTTCAAATAAAATGAAAAGATTTCATAAATTTATCGTACTCCTCCACTATAATTTCAACTAAAATGAGAAGCTTTAATACATTTTTGTGCTCCTCTACCATAATTTCGACTAAAATGAGAAGGTTTCATAAATTTTTATACTCCTCGCTATAATTTTAAATAATATGAAAAGCTTTTATAAATTTATCGTACTCCACTATAATTTCAACTAAAATGAGAGGCTTTAATACATTTTGTGCTCCTCTACCATAATTTCAACTAAAATGAGAAGCTTTAATAAATTTATTTTGCTCCACGATATTTTCAAGTAAAATGAGAAGCTTTAATAAATTTTTCTGCTTCTCTACCATAATTTCAACTGAAATGAGACGGTTTTATAAATTTCTACTACTCTACCACAATTTCAACTGTAATGAGAAGCTTCCACAAAAGTATTGTGCCAATCCATCATAATTCAAACAAAATGAGAAGCTTTCATAAATGTATTGTGCTCCTCCACTATAATTTCAAATAAAATGAGAGGCTTTAATAAATTTTTGTACACCTCTACTATCATGAAAAGTTTCATTCATTTATTGTGCTTTTCCACCAAAATTTCAACTTAAATGAGGTGCTTAGATAAATTTTTGTACTCCTCCACCATATTTTCGACTAAAACGGACAACTTTTATAAATTTTTGCTCACCTCCACCATAATTTCAACCAAAATTAACCCCGCTAATCAACCTCAATTATAAATCCTAACACTCCCACACTCAACGGTATTATATTACAACAACAAAAAATTACAATCGAAATTCCTCGGGCAACGAATCGCCCGTACTGCGAACTGCGAGTTTCCAGCGAATTTCGATTAAGGGGCGAGATGGAGTGCCGGTCACGCGGCCGGCCATCCGTCAGCGTTTCGGGTTCTTGAGAGTTTTCTTTGGGCTGACCCCGGCAGAGGGTCCGGGCGATTTGTTTGCGTTGAATTATATTACACGAGCAACAGTCGAGAGGCCGAGCGGGGCCCGCTGAAAAACGGGGGAAGTACTCGATTCGAGGAGAGCCGGCCGGTTGTTGTAGCTAGTAAGAGGCCGCTAATGTTTGCTGTTATTAAGTTAAATAAGGGGTGGTTGTTTTAAAGCTGTTGTACCTACCTAAAGAGTTTATTTTTTTTTTTAAACGAACGTGATGTAATTGAAATGTTTTGAAATAAATGCAAAGTGTAATTTCGATTGCTTATTGTGAGTGATTTTTTTTCTCTGTCTATTAAAAGGTATGGGTAATTAAAAATCGTAAATTACAACAATGAAATTTTTATTCACAAACATATGTTCGATAACATAAAAGGAAAAAATAACGTTTTCAACATTTTACAAATATTTTTTATACAATTTAACCTGAAAATCAATTTAATAGTTTTAATAGAACGTTGTGTACACTTTCACCGATACTATATACAATTTTTTTTGCAAACAAAAATTGACATTTGACATTCGACATGTCCACACGAAAACATTCGAATTTACTATACAGGGTGATTCGTTGCGAAACGGAAAGATTTTAACCCTGTATAGAGGTCACCCAGGAGATCACAAAAAACCCATATAGTGTGCACCTACTAAAAAAATTCAAAATCCAGGTCCAGCTTTATAAAAATTATTAAAGTAACCATAAAACAACACCCTGTACATCGAATTTTTAAATATTGAATTTCAAATTTGGAAAGAGCACAAAAAACTGAATACAATCATCAACTTGAAAGAAAGCCAAATTCAAAAAACGCCCTGTAACTCGGTTCCACTATATGGTTTTTTTTGTGATCCCCTGGATGACATCTATATAGGATTAACATCTATCCGTTTCACAATGAATCACCCTGTATAATTTGTACAACACGACAACATACGATATACAACAGCCCCCCTCCCCCCCAGCAAAATTAATAAGGCCTCCACACGTGCCTGTTGTTCTCCCTCGAACATCGACTATTATCCGTATCACTAGAACTGACCTCGTCCTTTTGCTTGGCCGTCGCGACGCCCGCCTTGCGCACCTTCACGCTCAAATTCACCCCCTCGCAACGCTTCTCCTCCGCAGCCTTCTCCACCTTGCCCGCCTCCTCCTCCTCCTCCTCCTCCTCGATCTCCGTCACGTCCAGCTTCTCGCTGCTCGAGCTGTCCGGGTTCTGCGAGTGCTCGTCGCGCGGCGACGGCGACGCCGCCGCCCTCACCATCAGCTGGCTGCCCCTCAGGTTCATCCAGCTCCAATCCTGCGGGTACAGCTGCGAGTAGAACCATTGACCTGCAAGATACACACATTTTTATTACAAAGGGAGATTGTAGTCGCTCGGAGGTTACCTGGGGGCGGTATGAGCGGCGCGTTGAGGAACAAACTGGCCGCCAGGGCGTTGTTGAACAGCTGGTTGTTGGGCAGCTGGGGCGGCGGCACGCCGGGGAAGGCCGGCGGCGGTTGCGGGGACGGCGTCGGCGACGCCGTCACCGATATGTCGTCTTCGCGCGGCGATTGCCCGTCGGCGGTGGTGAGCAGGCCCGCCGGGGCGTTGGGCGACGCCTTGGGCGACGTGGTGCTGTGGGCGCTGCTGCAGTTGATCGATATGGGCCCTAGGGAGGGTTCTGTAATTCGCTCTGAGCGCTCTAAATACTCTAATTTGTCGGAGTTTCGGTTACCGTTCGCTATCCTCGGCGAGGTGTTCAGGGGGCGGTCGAGCGCCGCGAACATGTGATGGGGGAAGTGGGGGTGGTGGTGGCCCATGAAGGGTCCGTGGGGGTACGGGTGTCTGCCGCCGCCGAGGAGCGCCCATTCAGGAGGCGGGCCCGGCAAACCGGCCAGATGATGAGCTATACCTGCAAAAGTACAATCGAATTTATTAGATACCCATCGCGTTATAGTCCGTTCGCTATCAGGAGATGGTAATGAAGGGTGTATAATCCTAGATAAAGTGAGTATTATAGATGGATATTAAAAGGGTGTAATAAAATTAATCTCCTGATACCGAAGGTAGTATGAGATGCTTTAATAAATTTTTGTATAGCTTTACCATAATTTCAACTAAAATGAGAAGCTTTAATAAATTTTTGTATAGCTTCACTATAATTTCAACTAAAATGAGAAGCTTTCATAAACTTTTGTACCCCTCTACCAAAATTTCAACTAAAATGAGAAGTTTTCATAAATTTATTGTGCTCCTCCACCATAATTTCAACTAAAATTAGGAGCTTTCATAAATTTTTGTATAACCCCACCATTATTTCAACTAAAATGAGAAGTTTTCATAAATTTATTGTGCTCATCTACCATAATTTCAACTAAAATGAGAAGTTTTCATAAATTTTTGTACACCTCTACCATAATTTCAACTAAAATGAGAGGTTTTAATAAATGTTTGTACTCCTCTACCATAATTTCAAATAAAATGAGAAGATTTCATAAATTTATCGTACTCCTCCACTACAATTTCAACTAAAATGAGAAGATTTAATACATTTTTGTGTTCCTCTACCCTAATTTTTACTAAAATGAGAAGCTTTAATACATTTTTGTAGAGCTTCATCATAATTTTAACTAAAATGAGTAGCTTTAACAAATTGTTGTTCACCTCTACCATAATTTCAACTAAAATGAGAAGTTTTCATAAATTTTTGTACACCTCTACCATAATTTCAACTAAAATGAGAGGTTTTAATAAATGTTTGTACTCCTCCACCATTATTTCAACTAAAATGAGAAGTTTTCATAAATTTGTGTACACCTCTACCATAATTTTAACTAAAATGAGAAGCTTTAACGAATTTTTGTTCACCTCTACCATAATTTCAACTAAAATGAGAAGTTTTCATAAACTTATCTTGCTCCTCCACTATAATTTCAAATAATATGAGAAGCTTTAATACATTTTTGTACACCCCTACGATAATTTCAACTAAATTGAAAGTTTTCATAAATCTTTATACACCTTCACCATAATTTCAACGAAAATCTTTAATAAATACCGAATAATAATAGATACCTAACGAACTATAAATAGATGTCGCATTAACAAGGACGGATTAATGGGATTTCTCCTAAGGCACAAAACAGGTCCTCGGAAAAAATCTACTTTAATTGTAGAAACATTTTATTTTACACAAAACGTATACATAACGTTAGGGTATTATAAATGACATAAATAATACAAACGAGCTAATAAGACCACCTTTAGGCCCTTTATATCTCGTCCCCGGGCGTTTCCTCGAGTGAAATCCTTCCCGTCGCACAGAGGGAATATATTAAAGAGGAGCGGTGTAAGGGTTAAGTCCGCGATGATGGCCTACTTCCTAGTCCTTATAGTCTCCTTCCTTAGTCCTGCCGTCTTTCTTAAGACTTAGATGGATATGCCGCATTAACAACCGAACGCTCCCTTGATGAAGCACATAGGCGGAGAGGATGCTTACGAAAACTCGAAATATCTCGAAAACTAATCGAGTTTCAAAAATTTTTCGCCCTTCAAAAATTGTAGAGAAATGTATTTTGTGTAAAACAAAACAAACCGCATGTTTCTACCTTTGTTATTTTTCGAGATAATGGTGGTAGTAGATAAGATACAGCATTACTGGGATATTTAATTAAAATGCAAGGGAAATATAGTGTATAAAGGGAAATTTAACTGAAAGTTAATCGTAATAAGGCGCGAAAGGCAACAATGAGAGGGAAAATCCAATTCCGGCCGCTCGATATTGCTCGCTGATTGAAAAATATCGGACCCCGCCGAAAATAATCAACGGCGAAAAGGGACTAATTCAAAAAAAAAGGCGAGCGAAGAAAAAGGGCTTAGTATAAAATAAATACGGCAATTTGGGCCGCCCCCGTCTCCGATGGCTGAAGGAACGGAAAAAAATGGGGGAAAGAAGAAAATTCACGGGATCCGCTCACAATTAAAGTGGCCCTTTAAGATAAGCCCCGCCGGGGGGGGCGGCGTAAAAAACATCCCTTTTTACAACCCGATGAGGAAACTTCGTTAACCGACTCGAATCTGGTGTTAACAATGAGCTCTTCTTGGATTTCTTTCCGGGGGGGAGGCGGCGGCGGCCGCCCCGCCGCCGCCGGGACGCCGGGATCGTCTGCGTAATGAGCCGTGGGATGACATTTATCTTGAAAAGGGTTAAGATTAGCCGCCCTCAGTCATTATTTTAACCTTTTAATTGAATGAGAGTAATGAGATCGCTAAAAGGCGATTTTAATTATAGATAGAAAACCAACCCCTTTGTGCAATTTTTATTGCGCAGGTGTTAAATACTATTAATTATATAGATTTAAACTACCCTTAGTGTTTCTTAAATGTATCGAAAAATCGAATATAATAGGGTTGTTTTCAGTTTTGTAACGATACCGCTCGTATCGATTACGGCGTCGGGACGCTCTACGTGCACACAACCCCCTTACGGGGTTAATTCGCCCGTTTTGTACAGCTTCAAGGGCTTCTTAGTTTTAGTTTTCTCGATTATCCCCGGCTTTGTTTTTTTTTTCATTTAGATACACCAAGAAAGGGTTGATATTACTCCACATTGACCGTCCGAGAGCGTCGTACATTGCTATATTCCAGCCGGGGGATAATCGGGCGTCGCGACGCTTCTCCTGCGAAACGTGTAATTGAGTTATAGTCCCGCCTGCTGTTGCTGGTCGCTTCTCGGGCCAGCAGGAGTTGAGTCGTCGTGTTACTGACACTTCCAAACGCAAGGGGGATTATCAGGGACGTATTGAACGAATTCGCGGACGGTGAAATTGTTGTTTCGTAGACGCATGGATAGTTTGATGATACGGAATTAAATTCGATTGCGATCGCTTTGGCGCCACCTGCTGGATAATAGTCGAAATCGTTGGCGTGTAGATAGGGTTGAACGATGTGCAGGAATATGGAGAAAGGGTTGATGAATCGGATGTGTGGGGGCGATCGATCGTTTAGCAGGACCGTATTTTACAGAATCGGTATTTAAAATGTTTTGTGGAAAAAATTGTTTTGATCTTATAGTTTGTATAGTTTCTTTAAAGGGGATGTAGAGAATAAGTTTTTATTTAACTACACTTGGAAATTTACAAACTGAACTTTCGCGCAAAACCAACATTTACTATATCATAATATAAATAAATCGATCGTAAAAAAATACAAAAATTTTAACCCCGTCAGTTTAAATTATTCAAATCGCCACGGATACTTTGAGAGCAATAGTTAATTCGTTGCAACTTGCATATACACACATACTCTAGTATACCCCAATGTGTGTATAAAAATATACATGTATATGTATGTGTGTCTCTGTCCGACTCGTACGTTTTAGGGGTAGAGCTATTTTAAAATCGTGCGGCATGATGTGTGGCGAACGTTAAGCAGACTACGTCACTATGGCAACCGCACCACTAGACAAAATATTCCAATCGTGAAAACTGATCTGGAATCCGCTTAGAGTCCAGATTAAATAGAATAATGGCCTCCCGATATAAACACACAAACGAAAAATGCATCCGCCGCCGCCGCCGCCGCCTCGCCTCGAATTAGTAGTCAACTGTGGAAATTAAACTCACTTTATTTTCGACGTATTTCCACCGGATTTGTCCTTTTCGATGCGGCGATTATTATGACGATTTTTGGACAAATTTGACTGATTATAGGCAACCCGGATTTCGCTTTATTAAATTAATTTATTCGCGTCTATTCAATTTCGTCATGACGTCATGCTTGTCTGTTAGTGAACAGAGTATACCTAATTGTTAAGAACCTAATTATTGGGTAAGTGCAATTTTATGAGAATAAAGATAACTAACAGTGGTTACAGTGAGAAAGTTGCAATCAGCCCACAATGTCACTCTTTCTTTTTCCTCTCTATGAAAATAATTGAAGTTATCTTTGTTGCACCCATGTTACAACAATATCAATGCACGTTACCTGTAATTTACTACGTTACAATTAAGCAGTGTTGCCGAACTTTTATAGAGTTTACAAAATCTAAGAATTTTCTGAAATTGTCAAATGGCAAAATGACAAGAACAAATTGAAAATTAGGGGTACCTGTTTCACGTTTCTAAATGGCGGACTTATTCAGGGACTCATTATAATTAATCATTAAATTCCTTTATAATCTCAAATATATTTAACAGTGCGAGTAAAAATTTTTGTATAAAATTGACCCATAAAAGAGTACCTACATAGTGAAATTTTTGAGAAAACTTCTGAATCTGAATTATTTAGAGCTCAAATTGTGGCATTTCTAACATGTTGAAAAGATAACAAAGCTAAAAATTCTTATTTCTTGATTATTCATCTGAATAGCCATTAGTAGTTGAGGCTAGTAAACTAGAAAAAAGAAGAAGAAATTGAAAATTAAAAGTACCGATCGGATGACAACGGCAACTATGCAACTTGACAGTCAGTGCTTACCAACCTCCTATAAGAAAATAATAATAATTTTATATACAAACGTTGAATTTTGACAAGATATATTTTTTTGGACGATTTAATTCTGCTTTTTTATATTTTCTATCATCCCTTGTTAATATTAAATTAAATTCAGCAGGTATTAAACTTAATCTATTTAGTGTATTTATTTTTAAAAGTTGGTCACAATGCTTGACAAGTATGACGTGCATTGATAATTGTTTTGCATCGACTATAGGTACAAATCTTAAGAATAATCAATCATTGATTTAATTAGAAACACAATCCTATAGTAAGATCCAGTATACTCGTATACACGAAATAGAAGAATAATAGAATCGACATAATTACGCTAATTTAATCCCGCTTTACGGCAGCAACAGTAAATATATACTATAAGAGATTTTATAATTTAACATCGAAGCGACGATAAACAAGATATACATCGCATATACGATTTCCTACTGAACTGGATTTCCTTTTAGTTTTACGATTCCCCATCGCGAGATATACGTTCAGAAAAGGAATTAGATACCCTCCATTGGCGTACAGTATTCGCTTATATCCATTATAATACCGTTAATTAATTAAATTCGAACGAATCGAACCGCGCGAGCCAATGCTTTCGAACACCCCCCCAATTATATCGCTAATCTCCAGTATACAGTCTATAATATAATGTAACAAACTACACCCGTATACATCCTATACACGTAACGCATCTCGTTAATTACGTTTCGCTAATTATCAATTAAAACGCGCTTTAATGACCGTGCAATTACCGCACTCCATTTTAGTTCAATCTTCACGTTTATCGCCCTCAAGAAGCCCCTATAATAACAGCAAACTATACAGTTGAAGGGATAAATCCCTTTTCTCCCCAGAACCTCGAACTAAATTTCCTAACCGGCAACGTCGCAATCACTATACCAAAAGAGGCTTACACAACAATATTGTAAATTGGAGGGATTTATTGGTTCTATTCTTTTAAGGTCTTAAAGTCCGTGGTTTAAAAGGTGTGTGTGTGATTTTCTGGTGTCGATCTTAAGGTGTGTGGTTTTAAGGAGTATGATCTTAAGGAGTGTAGTGTAAAGTGTGTGGACTTAAGGCGTGTTGTCTTAAAGTGTGTGATCTTAAGTTGCGTTTTCTTAAAGTGTGTGATCTTAAGGCGTGTAACTTCAGTGTACGAACTTCAGGTATTTGTTATAAGGTGTGTGTGGTATAAATGAGTATGATCTTAAGGAGTGTAGTGTTAAAGTGTGCGGTCTTAAAGCGTGTGGTCTTAAAGTGTGTGATCTTAAGTTGCGTTTTCTTAAAGTGTGTGATCTTAAGGCGTGTGGTTTTAAAGTGTATGAACTTCAGGTATTTGTTATAAGGTGTGTGTGGTATAAATGAGTATGATCTTAAGGAGTGTAGTGTTAAAGTGTGCGGTCTTAAAGCGTGTGGTCTTAAAGTGTGTGATCTTAAGGCGTGTGATCTTAAGGTCCTTAGGATTGGTCGTAAAAGAACTACAATTGTGATGGTTGAACGGGTTTCTGATGGTTCTAAAAGGTCTGGGTATATCTAAGTGTTGGCTTACCAGTAAGTTTGAAGGGCAATCCGCCGGTCAAGGGATCCGGGGCGAAGGGCCTGGGGCCGAAGGGAAAATGGTGGAAGCCCTGCTGGCGGGTCTTCGACCTGGGCTCCCTGGGCCCGTCGACGGTGACCTTGATGGCCTTGCTGTAGGTGCACACCTGCGGGGGCGAGGTCGATACGGTGATGGTCAGCGTGAAGCTCTTTCCTGCGAAAGAACCGAGAAGAGAATAATATAAAAAAAAAGATGAGAAATACGATACAAAAATAATAAGCTGTATAGCGCTTTTAACGTTCCGATGGGCCGCGAGAGGAAATGATGTTGCGGCTCCCCGAATTGTATACGATTCCCCAGGCCGATGGGAAAGCCAGTAAAAAGGCGAAAATTGCAAATGGAAATATTAATGGCTGCTCAGGTTTCGCCCCCCCTTCTTGCATTCATATAATCCCGTTAATAATGCAAAGGATTTCTTTGCGCTACCCCACCTGATCCGTTCGAATCCCGCTGCATCTTGAATAATTCGACTGATATCGATTAATAATCGATTAATGAATCGCTGAATGGAGTTGTACTGAATCAACTCCTACAGATACCTCATTCATTCGAATCCTGCTGCATCTTAAATAAATGGATTATTTTTGTACCAAATAGGCGGATTTTTAAGTTTCGTTTATGTCAAGACGATTAACATCGATTTGTAGGTTTTATCCGGACAAATGGTGTGTATATTCGTAGTATTTCTAATGTATGGAATTCGATGAGAGCAGGACGAGAGAGAGAGCAGGGAAAATATCCAACGGAATCCTTGATTTACGGCTACATTGGCCATACATCCTGGCATTACGATATCCTGTTAAAACACCATAAACCGACGCGGGATCAGACTCGTTTGTTGGTCCATGTGGAGTATAGATATGGACGATGTTTTGTTAATTTCAACCCCTAATTAATACCTATTTTTATAGTAATTTTCTTAATTTCTTCTGCAATTTTTTTCTCTCTTATTTCGGAGAAATTTCCATTAATTTAGTCACTAATTAACCTTTTTCATAACCCTTATAAAATATTATATCTACTGTTAGTACACAAAATAGTTTTCGTATTAATTATTTATATCCATTTTCTTCATATTTTCTGAGCCCTTTTTTATATTATTTTAGAAGAAAATTCCATCAATTTCACTCCGAAATAACCTTATTTTATGTAATTACAAATAATAGTTTTTGCACAAATTACAGTCATTTTCTTAATTTATTTCTAAGCTATTTTTCCATTATCTTCATCTCGAATAACAACTTTTTGAATAAATTATTTATTCTTCTATTTTATGAATTTTTTTGTTATAAATATTGGTGATTGGGGGCGCTGTGCAGAGGCTTGCAACGGGTACCTGCAACTTCTCTCACTATTCATATCCTATTACAAGGTTTTACTTGATTGATAACCGCTTTGAAAATATTTTTCTGAACGTTGCGAATTTTAAAATTTCGTTTATCCCGGGCGGGTTATTTATGGCGCGCACACCGACGATTTTTCGATATTTATCGAACATTTGTTTGGACAGTTGCATAAATAGAAATAAATAACAGTGTATCCGATATGGTTTTTCGCTTTTTCCATATTTTATATTAATAAATTCCGTATAGGCCTTTTTATTAGTACGTAATTGTAGAAATAATTTTGCACGTTCCGTTTGTTTTTGCGTATATATAACGCTTTACGCGCCGGTAATTAATTAAGAGGCGCCATATATATTTATATTTTTTCGTTGTTTCTTTTATCGTTGCGTAAAATTATTATTATCGAAAAATGTCATATTTTCCGTTTGTGAATGTTTTATTCGATCACGACAAGTTCTTTCGACCGTAAAGTTTCGAATAATTAACATTTTTATTTTAAACGCCACCTAATCAATCTAACAGTAGTTATCTAGTAATTGTTTATGGTTAATAAAATTTTGGTATTGGTAATAGCTCGAAAATCCAGCTCAAAAGTTGCCATGAATGAACATTCTAACCCTACTTATTCGTCAAATGTCGAGAAATAAACGAAACAATATATTGGCCTTCTACGTTTCGGAAAAGAAAAATAGAAAAAAAGAAAAATAGAAAAATAGAAAACAAATCCGATGATTATGTTATTGAAACAGTATATTCAAGTTACTGTATTGTTAATGTACTGTTAATGTAATAAAATTGTATCTATCTGAACCTAGTATCTAGTAGTGAAGAATCTCCCAGTTGTGATTCTACGAAAGAGAAACAAGATACAAGCGAAAATAGTACAAGAAAAGATAAGAAAACCAAAAGTAGATGGAGAGACGAACTGGCGAAATTAAAGTGAATATAGTGTGTGCTTGAAAGTACTTGGAATTGTAGAAAGTATCTGTTAGAGTAGAATAATAGTATTTTCTGGATCAACTAGTACCTAGTGAAGGATCTTCCAGTTGTGATTGTAGGAGAGAGAAACAAGATACAAGCGAAAATAGTACAAGAAAAGATAAGAGAACCAAAAGTAGATGTAGAGACGAGCTGGGAAAGTTTAAGTGAATATAATTTGTGCTTGGAAGTACTTGGAATTATAGGAAGTATCTGTTACAGTGGAATAAAAATATTTTCTGGATCTAGTAGTATCTAGTGAAGAATCTTCCAGTTGTGATTGTAGGAGAGAGAAACAAGATACAAGCGAAAATAGTACAAGAAAAGATAAGAGAACCAAAAGTAGACGGAGTGAAGAGTTGGGAAAATTAAAGTGAATATAGTTTGTACTTGGAATTGTAGGAAGTATCTGTTGTAGTAGAATAACAATATTTTCTGGATCTACTGGTACCTAGTGAAGGATCTCCCAGTTGTAATTCCATGCAAGAGAAACAAATACACAAGAAAATACAACAGAACCAAAAGTATAAGCAGAAGATTATCAACTGGTTAACGATATTATAAGCACAAAAAACGCAGTAAAAGAATCCTCACCTCTACCGCTCCTCCCGACGAACCTCAAATCATTGAACTTCGCCACCTGGTTCTTCATCACGGCCGTACAGTTCCTCAACTCCGCGCAATAATTCTCATCGTTACCGGCCTTCACCGTCACCACCGTACCGTCACCCACGTCCCCCAACGCCACCACCTTAAACGCCACCGGCAGCGTCTTGTTCGACCTCCAGTGCGTGGGCAGCACCGTGCACACGACGTGCGGCGAGCCCGTCCTCACCAGCTCCCCCGGGTGCTCGGCCAGCAGCCCGTCCACCGTCCTCTCGGCCAGCATCTCGGCCGTCAGATTGCCGTAGGTGCGATCGTAGTGGCCCGTGGTGGACGTCACCTCGCTGCTCAAGTGCATCCTGGTGCAATCGACTCACATCCGATCGCTGGAAACTTTCACTTTCAACTTTAACGATGATGTTAACATCGTCTTCGGTTCAAGCACTGGTTATAGCACTGCGTTGAGGTGGCATTTGTCGCTTGGTGTTGGGATTGTTTGGAATAATTTGGCGCGTCAACGCGTGTTGTGTGTGTGTGCCGGTCGCGTTTTTGCAAGTCGAATGCGCGCCGGGAAATGGAAAAATATGATGGAAAAATCACGGTCGGTTCGGCCGGCGGCGTGCCGCAGACGTGCGCGGGATATGTGTGGATTTTTCTATATACACACACACACCAGGTGGATGCGAGTTTATCCGCCCCCCGCGTTACTTTTTTTTCTTCCTCCGGCGAGTGACCTGTGCGTATGTGTGTGTGTGTGTGTGATTTTTGCACTGTAATTACGCGCTCGTTCTCTCTAGTTTTTCCGCGAACTGTTTTTGTTTCCAAAACGATCGATTCCTTATTGACGCCAGGAGTGAGCTGGAATTAAAAATAAATAAATTAATTGCAACGAATTAGCAGAAATGTTTTGTTATGGATATAACCAAAGACGTTATAACTAAGAGACCAAATTGTTTACATTTATTTGTGGTAAATCCCTAGACCAAAGTGGCCAGTGAAAAAAGATCAAAAGAAGAAGTTGTGGTTTTAACATATCCTGTAACCTGTAACCTAGAAATTAGTATATTCATAATTAAATTTTGGTTAAATTTAAATAATTGTAGGAATAGTTGTTCTTTTTTGCAGACGAAACCTTTTAAAAAATTCTTCCTCCGAGAATGTTTCAAAATATTTCGAATTTGTCGTTGCATAGGAACATCTACCACATTAATTTCTTCTTCTACATCATATATTATATCTACATTAACCACAATATTTATATCTGCATTTATATCCATAATTTTGCAACTGTCTATGATGTCTTAGATCTATAATGTCTAGGATCTATGATCAATTCGTATCACAGGAAAGAGATTTTTAGTTCGTAAAACAATATAAAATTGGCCCAGTTGTTCTCTTAGTTGTAATGTTTTTGGACATAACAATAACACAAGTGCAAAGAAAACAGTATATCAAAAAATTAAACTTGTACTCGCTCTTATCGTTCAAGACAATTATAGAACCATTTATAACAGTTCAAAACCATTTTACACGATTTTTTACATAAATTTAAACGCTAAGGGTTGATAAATGTTAAGAGTACAACTACGCAACCTGCAACATAATTCCTACTAACTGTTACATACACTAAACAATCAACCTGCCAATTATTATTGGAGTGTTAAATCTCTCCCCGAAAGTTTTGCATTTAATATCCGCGTATACGCTCGCAGGGGTGAGTTTCGCCAGCCATCCCCCGCCCCCCCGGACACGGTCGTTAATCAGTCCCCACACGTGCCGACGTCTCAGACAAGTGTTACATAATATTCCTTCTATCACGTAATTAGTTTCTTTTTTTATGACGTCGCCCGCCCTTACGCGGAAGCCCTTCTCGCCGGCGAGCCCTTCGGGGGGCGCGAGCCGACGGGGGGATGATGTTCGGGTTGAATGAAAAGGACGATTAAACGGTTCGACTTTTGCTCGGAGATTTCGCTAGGCGGGGGGTTTTGGGTGTTTTTTTTTTTCGGGGTGAGTGGCGGCGGGTTTTTTTTTTCTTTTGGGGGGGTGTAAAATGGAAATTGCGGGGGATGGTTTTTGATGTTGAAAGTTGGAACGGATGCGTTCTGATTGGGTGCTTCAAGTAGCTGTAATTTTGCAACAGTTATAAAAGGTTCTATGATTATACTGGACTTTTTTAGTTTTTTTGTCCTTTTTCAAATAGTCCTGAACTTGTTCTAAATAATTTTTGACAGTTGTAAAGCTTCTGGGATCATTCTGGACTTTTTTGTTTATCCTGCACTTTTTCAAATAATCCTGAGTCTGTTCTAAATAATTTTGGACAGTTCTGAAAGATTCTAAGATAATTCTGGACCCTTTTAGTTTATCCTGCACTTTTTCAAATAGTCCTGAATCTGTTCTAAAAAGATTTGAACAGTTATAAAAGGTTCTAAGATTATCCTGGACTTTTTTAATTTATCTTGCACTTTTTCAAATAACCCTGTACCTGTTCTAAACAATTTTTGACAGTTGTAAAGCTTCTGGGATCAATCTGGACTTTTTTTGTTTATCCTGCACTGTTTCAAATAGTCCTGAGTCTGCTATAAACAATTTTGGACAGTTATAAAAGGTTCTGGAATCATCCTGGACTTTTTTAGTTTATCCTTCACTTTTCAAATAGTCCTGAATCTGTTCTAAACAATTTTGGACAGTTATGAAAGATTCTAGGATCATCCTCGACTTTTTTAGTGTATTCTGCGCTTTACAAATAGTCCTGAACCTGTTCTAAACAATTTTAGACAGTTCTAAATGATTCTAGGACTATTCTTTTAGACTTTTTTAGTTCATCCTGCACTTTTCCAAATAGTCCTGAATCTGTTCTAAACGATTTTGAAGAGTTGTAAACGGTTCTATAATCGTCCCAAACCGTTACAAATGCTGTAATACAGTGAAATATTTATATCTAATTTTAACCCCTACTCATCAACCCTTAGCGATTAAATTGAATAAAAAATATTAAAAAAAGCAAGCAAAACATCCCTGTATTGATGCAGTGTAATACTTCCACTCATCAACCCTTATAGCGATTAGTGTTTTGAAATTAGGCATATTAAAACATCCCTGTATCGATACACTGTAAACACTTCTTTGAATTATTCATCTATCCCTCACTTATCAACCCTTAAATTTAAATTAAAAATAATAAAAAAAAACCAAGTGAAAACATCCCCGTATCGATATACAGCGATGTAATATTTCTCGCGGAATATCGGAGTTATTTATCCCGATGCGACCCTGTTTCGGGGCCCCCTTAGGGTCGTAAACTAGGGTGAAAAGTAGGCGCGTTTGACAGTCGACGCACGTTTTGGTCCAGTTTAACCTCCCTTGTCGGGGTGTAAAGCGCGGGGGCAAAAGGCCCGATCAGCTGATTTGTGATTCATCTTTTAACAACCCCCTTTTTTTTAGCATTTTTTCGGCGTGTTCTTTTGATATACGATATCCGTCGAAACTGATTTAATTGTAAAAATGATGGTTTTTCGAGCGGGGTTTGTTATTAAAAGACGATTGGTGGATGCTGGAGGGTAGTTGCGGATTTAAGGGGTGAATTATTTGAGGAAAAATTGCTATTTTTTTGGTGAGAGGAAAATTAATTCTGTAAGTGTCTGCACAATATTCGTTGAAATGTTAAAATTTAAAAAGGGGATGCAAACATTATTAGTATGTACAGGGTGTTAATGAATTGAGTGCCGATACTTCAGGATGTGAATATTTGGATTTTAAGAAGAAAAGTTTATATCAATAAATAAGTCTTAAACCTACGAGTTTTCGAGCTACAGGGTGATTACAGTTTTGGAAAAAAATAACTTTTCTATCATAATTTTCTTATTACTCCAGATTTTTTATGAAATTCGGATGTGGACGTCATTGGTAATAGTAGAAAATTAATTTTTGTCCCCTAAAAAAAGTGTTTCCATACATGATGGGCAAATTTCAAGAAAATATCAAAAGCAGTCTCAAAATGAACTTGGGAAAAAATTGTTTTGGTTTTTATTTTTTACGCGAAATTGAGGTTTAGGACATAAATATATTGATATAAACTTTTCTTCTTAAAATCCTCCAAATATTCACATCCTGAAGTGTCGGGGCACTCATTTAACTAACACCCTGTATGGTTGTAAAATATTATTTTTTAGTAGATAAGAGGTGATTTTTAATTGCCGTTAGTGAGAAAAAAATGTTTTCTTTAAAATTTGAAAAATTGCTCTAATTTAAAAAAAATGAAGAAAATATTTATTATTCTAATTGATTTCTTCAAAACCTCTATTTTTCCAAATAACTTATTACAATTTTTAAAAAATAACGCAAAATAAAAATAAATTAATTTCTCCATTATAAATTGATACAAAAAATCCACACTAATAAATCCACTAAAAATCAACAAATTCCACAGAAAAAAAAATAATTCTAAAATTACAAAAATACAAAAATTTCAATACCCAAAAAACCGCTCGTCCTCGCAACCGAATTTTTCCAAAAATTCCCGTACACAGCAGACAGAAATTAAAAAAAAAATACAATATATCTCACGAGCCCCCTTCGAGCAGAGACCCCCCCGAGCACACACCGTACCGCGCGAATCGCCTCACCAGTGACCTTCTAATATCGGGGCGCTTCTTTTCGCGACGGAAGTCATTCTGACATTAAGAAAGCATAAAAGTAGCAAGGGGGGGCGGCGGATTTGTGGGGTGGCGGAGGCGGAGCGTGTTGAGGTGAACCGCCACCGCCGGTCCCGCCGCCAACCAGGAAAGACGGCGGATTTTTACCCTCAAACCAGAGTCGTTTCTTAGAGGTTTACCAGGGTTGGGACGCAAGCGCGCCACCCCTCGTAAACGTCTTTTCCGTCTTTTTTACGGCGCGCCGTCTCGCTCGCGCCCGCTCGCCCGGCCGTCGCTCTCTCTCGCTCGGCGTCTTGCCAGAAACTTTCCCAACGACGTCTTTTTCTGTCCGTCTTTCTTGGACGACGCTCTGCGTCGCGTCGTCAGGTGTTTTTTTCTATGAGGGTAATTGAAACTGTACCGGATACCCTCATTATCGACCTACATAAATACCTTTTCTCTGCGGAAAAATTACAATTTCGCTACGCTCAACAAATTCCATTTTAATCTCAAACTAATGTAATTTTTTTTATTTATTTTTACAATATTCCTTTATATCTCTAAAGAAAAAAATTAATCTTCCCTATTTATTACATCTCATAGAAAAATTAATACATTCAACGTTGCCAGTTTTCAAATTTCTATACAGGGTGTCTCGTAAGTTGATCCTTTGTTTGACCACGTATAGAGCTTTTAATTCTAAGCAACTTTTTTAAGTATTTTTTTAATATTCTAGAAAATAGGAGCATGTTTTTTTTTTCAATTTTTAATTATTAAAACGTTAGGAAATACGGCTCTGTTTATTAAAAGTTAAAGAACCTGCTCAAAATTGTCAAATTGGAAAATATTCGATTTAAATTTTTTTTTTAAATTTCCATCTTTTTTATTTATTTATGAATTTTTAATAATCCTTTACCTTAAATACAAATTTTCACCCTTTTAAGAGCTCTTTTTAATTCAAGAAAAGGGATCTGCGCCCCTTTCAACCCCCATTTTTTAATATTTTTAGGACACCTATAGAAGAAATAGTTAACACATGCAACGATGCCAGTTATAGAATTTGTACAAACTACTACGAAAACTGTATACAATAATCCTTTCTCTTAAGTAACAATTTGCTCCCCCTATCAAACCCCCTTTTTACCATTTTTCACACCTTATAGAAGATATAATTAACACATGCAACGATGCCAGTTTTCGAATTTGTACAAACTACTACAGATACTGTATTTTTTATAAAATAATCCTTTCTCTTAAATAACAATTTGCGCCCCCTTTCAACCCCTTTTTTCCATTTTTTTGCCACCTTACAACAAAATTACTAATACAGACAACGTAGCCAGTTTTTAAATTTCTACAAATACCTACAAAAATTGTATTTTTTTAAATAATCCTTCATCTTAAATACAAATTTGCGCGCCTCAACAACCCCTCAACTCTTTTTTTTTTCTATTTTTTATCACCTTACAGATAAAAAAAATGCGAGCAATGTTGTTTTCGAATTAGTACAAACACCTGCGGAAGCGGTGATCGGGGGAAGTACCTGTACATGCACAAAGCGAAAAAACGGGAAGTATGTACGGAAAAGCGTCGGGAGACGAGCAATATGGGATATAAAAGGAAATATAAAAGAGAAAAAAAAAATAATACAATGCATAAGCGCTCTCGCGCGATGGAAGGGTCGCAATCGCTTCTCGAAAAGGTTACGCCGAGAAGCGGCGAAAGGGTTAAAACGAAACAAAAGAGCTTTTAAGCCGAGATTAGAAGGAAAGGGATTAACGCCGGGAAAAGGGATAGCCGTACTGTTGCGAAGTATTAAGAATACGGAAGAATAAAGACAATACGACGCACAGCGGCGGAGCTGTTGTCACCTCAAAGTGTTTAGTTTTTGGATGAAAAATAATTTTAGGGTGTCGTGACGTCATCGGTTTGATAAAGTGGACTTACTATACTATACACATTTTTTTAGTTGAATTTCTGTAGCTAGAAGTTTTTATTATTTTATAGAAAAAACGAGTTTAAATAATGCAAAAATGTTCTGAAACCCCTAAATTTCTGAGTAATTTGGATTTTTTTGTCATAAAAACATGAAAAAGAAACTTTTTTTACTGAAATTCCGTTATCTCGAAAATCAATCGAGATAAATAAACGAAAGTTTCATAGTATTATAGAAAAAACAATTCTCTAGAACTTTTAAAGAATGAATAATTTTCAAAAACCCCCAAATTTCCGAGATATTTGGACTTTTTTGTCATAAAAACTTGAAAAGAAAACTATTTAAGTGTAATTCCGTTATTTCAAAAATCAATCGAGATAAATAAACGAAATTTTCATAATTTAATAGAAAAAACAATTCTCTACAACTTTTAAAGAATAAAAAAAATTTAAAAACCCCCAAATTTCTGAGATATTTTGACTTTTTTGTCACAAAACTATTTTTAGCGCAATTTTATTATCTAAAAAAACAATCGAGATTAATAAACGAAATTTTCAGAATTTAATAAAAAAACAATTCTCTACAACTTTCAAAGAACCAAAAATTTTCAAAAATCTCCAAATTTCCGAGATATTTTGACCCTGTCTGTACCCTATTATTAAGTTTTTGTCCATGCACGCTAATAGAAATCGATTATTTATTATTACTCACTGTTAATTTTGCATTTATTATTAAATTATTCAATACATTATTACATTAAATTGAAGCCTGTTCGCTGAAAAACTACACAAGCACCGCTATTTTATCGAAAAAAATCAAATTCAAAATAAACCCTTTTTAACCATCCAAAATCCCATAACAACTACACTCAAAAAACAATCTTAAACCCCTATTATACAACAAAAAAACCAACCACACCAAGCTCCCAATCATCCCTTAAAAACCCGTATTTTTTAAAAGGATAAACACCGATCCCCCGCCCCTGAGAGACATTCCGGTCTTATCGCCTTAAACAGGGTGGAAAACTCACCCTCTACTCGTCGCCAGACGGAGCCCGAGATACCGTGTGACAAATTGTACATTATTGAAATGACGGTGAACGGGAGCACGGAGCAACCGGGGGTGGGCGGCGGCGCGGGGGCGGCGCGAAAACTTAAAGAAAAGAGGTGTAAAACGGTGTATTTAGCGCGAATATAAAGGGGTTTGAGGAATATCTCGCTACCCCGAAACGCGCCTATTTGCATAAGGTGATTATCCAGGCGGCTTTGGATTCCTGCCGCGCCTCGACCGCCCCCCTTCATCGATATACGCGTGATAATCCGGCATTAAAAAAATATTCGAAAATTAGTTCTATTTAGCGAACGAGCATATTCTTTTTTTATTTTTTTTCGTTCAATTTTCTCGACGTTTCTGGGGCAAACGTCGAGTGGGCCGTCACGAAACGCTCGTTCTCCACGTGGAAATTATTCTTTTCGATGGCCTCGCAAATTCGAGTACGTCAGTCAAGACCGATTTGTTCCGTTTACGCCTCCTTTGATCCATCCGAATTAAACGACTTTATAAAGAGTGACGTCGTACATACACGTCACAACACAAGAATATTAAACGACCTATATTTTGTGGAAATGTAACTTTCTTACTCTCTTTATTTTGTTATCTTAATCATCGTTCTTTATTCAACTCATATTTTGTAGGTATTCTATAAATTTTAACGAGTCAAAAATGTTCAAATTTTCCAGTTTTTTGAGATATTTTGACTTTTTTGTCATAAAAACATGAAGAAAAAACTCTTTTTAGGGCAATTCTGTTATCTCGAAAATCAATCGAGGTAAATAAACAAAATTGTCATAATACTATAGAAAAAACAATACTTATCAACTTTCAAAGAATCAAAATTTTTTAAAAACTCACAAATTTCCGATATATTTCATAAAAAGCTAAAAACAAAACTTTTTTAGCGCAATTCTGTTATCTCTAAAATCAATCAAGATAAATTAACGAAATTTCCATAGTATCATAGAAAAAACAATTCTCTACAACTTCCAAGAAATCAAAAACTTTCAAAAATCTACAAATTTCCGAGATTTTTTGACTTTTTTGTCATAAAAACATGGAAAAGAAACTTTTCTTAGTGCAATTCCGTTATCTCGAAAATAAATCGAGGTAAATAAACGAAATTCTCATAATATTATAGAAATAACAATTCTCTACAACTTTTAACAAATCCAAAATTTTCAAAAACCCCCAAATTTCCGAGATATTTTGACATTTTTGTCATATAAACATGAAAAAAACTGTTTTTAGTGCTTTTTGATTAACTCAAAAATCAATCGAGATAAATAAACGAAATTTTCATAGTCTTATATAATAAACAATTCTCTACAACCTCCAAAAAATCAAAAATTTTCAAAAATCTCCAAATTTCCGAGATATTTTGACATTTTTGTCATAAAAACATTAAAAGAAAACTTTTTTAGCGTAATTCTATTATCTCTAAAATCAATCGAGATAAATAAACGAAATTTTCATAGTATTATAGAAAAAACAATTCTCTAGAACTTTTAAAGAATCAAAAACTTTCAAAAACCCCCAAATTTCTAGAGACCCAAAGAACTATTGTTCCATCCAACAAAGAAGATAATATTGTGGAATTGTAACTTCCTCACTCTCTTCACTTTGCCATCTTAATCATCTTTCTTTGTTTGAATCATATTACACACAAATTACCCAACAATTAGGTATACTCTATTCACTAATAGACGAGCGTGACGTCACGACGAATTTAAACTTTCAAACCAATTAAAAATCACTCAGCGCGCGGGGGTTCTATTAAATGTTGAAGTACGAAAATTCCCGGATGATTATAAAACGCTTATATACACCTAGGTGCAGACGTCAGATCCTCATCCCCCTTTTTTTCCGGGGGCGGCTTCGCCGAAGGGGCGGCAGTACGTTGTATAATACACTCGGCTCTCTTAACGCCTCGTCAATAATTCAACGGGGATTTTTCTTGAGTTTTTCCTTATTCTAACGTACTAATAGACGTTGATGAGGGTGCGTTGCGTGCGTGAAAAGAGATTCGAAAGTGGAGTTTATTTATAATTATTTTCCCCGGGCTAGATTTATTCGCCGTTTAATCGGTGAAATATTGATGATTTCACGAAACGAGGGTACGTGTGCGTGAGGAATTCTTAATTTAAATTAACTAATTAGCGTGTAGAAATGTTTCGTACATTCGAGCGAGTTGCGGGGAATGGAAAATAAAATGTATATATATAAAAAAATCGTAATATCAACCATCCTCATATCCCGAGTTAATAAAGCGAATTCGCCTCAGCCGTATAAGAGAACGAGG